CACACACACATAAGATACACTATGTATACACACTGTATAAAGACATTGGTAGATGTAAACATGTTACAATGGTAGACAATGTAAACAGACTGGTTACAATTATAAATATGGGACTGCTGATATAAACTTCTTGTGTTTTATATGTACAACAAGCAGAATAATAAATGTGGAGATAAGGTTAGAAAGCATGAAGCTCGCGATGTTAAAATGCCAGTCTATCAGCCAAATCCGAAGCAAGACGCAGCCCATAGCAACGCGTTATAACAACGATGTCTCGGATAGTCAGACGACAGATAAAAGTATGCGATAAATTAATGAGGGATCACTACAAAAGTGTGCATAAAATACATTGAACACAGAATCAAGCGAGGCGCTAGAACAGACCTCACTGGTTGTAGTGCGCTACGCACGCACGTTTGAGCTGCTTCTTTCCTTTTTAATGATGGTTGGCAAACCCACTTAAAAGGCATATACCGCCACCTACTGCATGACACCGGCATGACAGCTGACGTAAAAAGGATCGGGCTGAGGAGAGCTGATACGGATCAGTTAAAAATTGCTTGATTGGCCCCGATCGGCTTGGGACATCCCTAATAAATTTTTTTTTTTTTTTAAAGTATGAAATTTACTTATGAATCAAGATGTTAATGAAAACACTTGCTTGCTGAATTCACACACTCAGATTTGTGCATATTCACACTTAGTGAATGAGACCTAATGTCTTTGCAAGTAAAGCGATTGACACTTTTAAATAAATTTCTTTAGATTAGTCATATTGAGTGTTGTCCTTACATATTTCTACATAACATTTTTGCAACATCGGAGCTGCATTAACCCAACTTTAAATGCGTTTGCCTCGTCAGATTTCCAACAGCTGATTATACCCCCGGAGACCCATTTTGAAGTGAAGCCGAAACGTGACCTGGACGTCTCAGACGGGCCGCAATTTGGACACCAGCCGCCTGCAGGTTCAGTTCCCACCCCGGTAGTAATCGCCAGCAAAATCGGCGAGCACCAGGGCGCAGGCGGCACGTCTGCATCGCAGCTGCTCCAGCGCAGTCTAGAGTCGCCACCGAACCCCTCGACCAAACACGGCCCTCCGACCCACGCCAAGCCCACGCGTCTTCCCGACAGCATCAGCATGTTACTGGGCAGCCGCGAACACATTCCCCACTCGATCGCCGCCGAAGCCGTCAGCGTTCAGGAGCGCCGGGCGCAGATGCTCTCAAGCCTCTCCGGCCCGGCGCACCCTTTGGATGGCGGAGAACCAGCCTGCGTGCGCAACCTCCCCATACGGAGCATTTCGTTTCGAGATCCGACGCCAGACAAGTCTAGGATGGAGGCGCTTTCGAAGCTCGGACTTGCTCAGAGGCGAACGCAATCCGTCATGCATTCATCGAATTTCAGCACTACGCTCAACATTACCAATCCAGCTAACTCTAGCGCCGACGCAGACACTACAGACCACTGCCAAACCAAATCTAGCCCCGCACCAACTTTGACGAGTGCCGAAGTCACACACAGTGATTTCAACAGCTATGGCGGTAAGAGCATCATGCTAAACCCCACATTGTCCTTCAGGGCCGAGTACCGCTCATCTTCAGTGCCCAAAACAGAGTCTTCAGATGTCCGTCTCAACAACTTCGGCGGCAGATCGCGAGTCGTGACTCCATCCCATCCAAAGCACAGCACCCAAACCAAGACCATCACCCCAGTAAAAGAGGACAACTCCAGCTCAAACAGGACTTTAAATGAAGGCTTACCCAAGAGGAAAGCGTCACACTCTGAAGCGCCTGTGAAGCAGCCGCCAGCTCCGGCTCCAAAACCACGCTCCTCTCCGCTGTCCCCAGAGTTACGCCGCAAATCTTTGCCAAAGCCGTCCTTCCGCACTCAGGGAATAACGGTGCAGTTTTCTGGGAGAGGAGCCACAGATGAGGCCAGACGTGATGCACTACGCAAGCTAGGTCTGCTGAGAAACACGCCTTAAATGTTCATACGATACTAATAATATGTAGACTCCAGTACATAAACAACTGATAAGCTATGATTTAACCAATGATCATCTGTTGGACAGCAGCAAGACTTTTTGATTGAGTTTCAAATTCAAGTTTGGAGAAAAAGCCACAGGTAACACTCACACACACCTGCTTAGAAGTTACAGATCTCTGAAAACATTTGCATCAGTTTTAAATGTAGTTTGTGAAGTTGTTGAGCATGCTGTGGATGCACACGGCCTGCTTCAGCCATGTTTGCATCATGGTCACATGGTTCCAGAACTGAGCCAATCACTCGAGTCTTAATTGTCATGTGACTGATGACTCTCCCCGACGTTTCAATTGACGAACCAATTAACTAATTAACTTAATTGCATTTTTTTTTCTTAAATTTTTTGTACTTTTACTGTTTTTTTCTTTGCTTTGGTTTTACGGTTTTATTTGGACTTTTTGATATTTGTGACCCTGGAGCACAAAACCAGTCTTAAGTGTCAATTTTTCGAAAATGAGATTTATATAAGTTTAATTACTTATTAAGTTTTATTACTTAATTACTAATTTAAGTTAAATTACCTGAATAAATAAGCTTTCCATTGATGTATGGTTTGTTAGGATAGGACAATATTTGGCTGAGATACAACTATTTGAAAATCTGGAATCTGAGGGTGCAAAAAAATCAAAATATTGAGAAAATCATCTTTAAAGTTGTCCAAATGAAGTTCTTAGCAATGCATATTACTAATCAAAAATTAAGTTTTGATATATTTACGGTAGGAAATATCTTCATGGAACATGATCTTTACTTAATATCCTAATGATTTTTGGCATAAAAAAAAATCGATAATTTTGACCCATACAATGTATTGTTGGCTATTGCTACAAATATACCCCAGCGACTTAAGACTGCTTTTGTGCTCCAGGGTCACATTTATGGTTTTATTTCGACAGTTTTTGTATTTTTATTGTGTTTTGATTTGTTTCATTCTTATATTTTTACTGTTTTTTTATTTAGTTTCACTTTTACTTTCACTTTCAAATGTTTTTTTTTTGCTCTTCCATTTTTACTTTCACTTTCATTTTTACGTTTTCGTTATTTCTGAAGAACCCAGACTGTACGCAAGAAATACCTCAAGGGTCTTCCTAGAGAAATATCTCACATGTGGTCTCTCAGCAGGTAGTGTCTATGATAATGTTGTATTTTTGCTCTCTGGATGTTGAATTGTGGGTTTGGACGTTGGTTGTCAGGTGGAGATCTTTCTCTTCAAACATGCAGAAGGTCTCGTAAATGTAAGTTTAGTTCCTCCTACACTAAACCACAGCCATCCAAATCTAGATCTGGAACATGTTGTTAGTCACATGGGACTGAAATCACCACCAATCACACGCTGTTGTATTTTACCTGTAGTGTATGTAATGTGGATTCCAGTGTGAATGAGCATGAGTGTTAGTGTATGTATGTTGTTAGTTTTTTTTTTTTCACGACTCCGGTTTTTTGCTTTCATTGAAGCAGTTATTGAAGGACTCCGAATGCATGATTGTGAACATGTGACGCCACTATAAACACATACACACAGGAAACAAAGCAACAGTTTATTTCCACCTCTTTGTGTAAATGTAAATGTTCTTGCATTGGTGAAGATCTTTAATTTTCAGTGATTGTTTCTGAATAAATTCGATTAAACCCATCATGGTTCAGTTGCAACTGAACGTTACAGATAATGTTGAATTTGGAACGCATTAGATGCAAAACAGGGATTTAGAGATTCACAAACGTTCACCAAGCGTGACATTTAATCAGTCAGGTCAATGAAAAGACTAGAAAAATCACAAATTCGAAGCACGGTACAAATGAAAAACACAGAAGAGGAAAGTACTAAATCAGAAACCGCAGAAAGGTGAATCTCACAAAATCTATGCATTAAGAAGTTTAGAAAGAAAATACTTTTTTTGCATTGAAAAATCATTTTTAATATCTCATTACGGTAATATTTAAAGCTGAATTTAATCATGTTGTGGTTTTATGAATTTTAATAATGTGTATAGACAGGATGAGCTGCAAATCATGTACTAAAACAGCCTCAGGGGGCGATTTAAGTTGTTTCTATGTATTTTAAAGATACTTAAAAGAGTCCCAAACTTACAGGCCTTCAGCAGATAAACAGACGTTCACGTTACCAGTCCTCCCACAGGCGCGTGTTTGTGTCCGGCTCGACTGCATCTGATCAGCTGCACTAGTTAGTGAGTTCAGCGTCTCACGACGGCTGTAAAACAAGCTGGTGAGTGTTTTTAGAGAGCACAGACACAAACAAGCATTCTCACGGTCACAAAAAGTCACTTTACTGCAACAGCGAATGTGTTAGCAGCTGCGTTCAGCCCATGCACGTCTCGCTCAGTGAGAAAAAACATCAGGAGAAAGATCAGAACACGTCCCAAAGTTTGTCTGAAGGACAAAAACACTGAGTTTTTCTCCATTAGAGTCTCCGTTCGCTCGCTATCGAACCATCAAGCGGTTCCTGGCAAAATAAAACCACCTCCATCCTGTGTGTCCATGCTGAGACATTTCAGCCCAGCATGTGTATGTGTGTGTGTGTGTTCCCATCCGTGTCCACCAGCTGATGCGGCTCGTCTCTGGTTGCCGTGGTGATGCTGTCTCCGTCCCAGAGCAGCACCGCTGTCCATCTCTCCATGTCTCTCTTTGACTCGTTTGCTCAGTCTTACATCATCAGCGTCTCCTGCGGTAAACAGGGTCAAAGGTCAGGGGTCAGTTTGTTCCAAACACAAGTGAGCTGCTTATCTAGGCTACACGATGACGTTCTACGTTCTAGTAGAAGTTACAACTAACTACGAGGTGTTGTGGGTAGGGCTGCACAATTTGGGGAAAAATGTAATAGCGATTTTATTATTTACTAATTTTATTATTTTTACATTGAAACTTGCAAATACAATTTTTATAAAAAATAAAAATTAAAAATAAAAATTGCTCCAGGCACAATTTGGCCAATTTTTTTAATGATATATCAATTTTAATATAATCTACTAACAGTAATTAATCAAATAAAAGTTATTGTTCTTATTTATTAAAATATAATATTTATATAAATATACAATATATAAAAATAATAATAATTAAATGTATTTTAATAAAATGAAAATATAATAATATTAATAAATAATAAAATATCATGAATACTAAATAATAATTAATAAAAAATACTACTACTACTAAATAAAAATATTAAAATAAGAAATATATTACTACTGTATATTTTACTGTAAAATAAAATGCAACCGTTGCAATAATTGCACTAAGCCATATATCGATTTAGGTTTTATTCTGATTAATCATTGCAGCTCTTGTGGGTTGTTAATCGTTATTATATATTTTTATTATAATACATACATTTAATAATGATAATAAATAAATTATAATCCAAATATTAAATAAAAAAATAATACATTTTTAATACAATAATAATGATAAGAAGAAGAATATTAAACAATAATAAATATTACTAGGTTATACAGTATTTTACAGTAAAATAAAATGCAGCCTTTGAGATTTGATAATTGCACTAACCCACATCAAGGTTTTGGTTTTATTTTGATTAATAGTGAATCCCTAGTTGTTGGTTTTTGCCGGGCATTGCAATTACTATCCCAGAATGCTTTGCAAAGTCAAATCCATTTAGAAATCCGAGTTGGGACTATCTATTTTGTAAGTTTTAAAATCTAATTTCATCTACTACTTAATTTCAATTGTTTAGTATTTGAGAGTTTCGTGCATTTATGTGGTCATTAGACTGGATGAGCTCCTCTGTGTTTGTGTGAGTGTGTGTGTGAGTGTGTGAGTGTGTGTGTGAGTGTGTGTGAGAGTGAGTGTGTTTGTGTGTGTGAGAGTGTGTGTGTGTGAGTGAGTGTGTGTGAGTGTGTGTGTGAGTGTGAGTGTGAGTGTGAGTGTGAGTGTGAGTGTGAGTGTGAGTGTGAGTGTGAGTGTGAGTGTGAGTGTGAGTGTGAGTGTGAGTGTGAGTGTGAGTGTGAGTGTGAGTGTGAGTGTGAGTGTGAGTGTGAGTGTGAGTGTGAGTGTGAGTGTGAGTGTGAGTGTGAGTGTGAGTGTGAGTGTGAGTGTGAGTGTGAGTGTGAGTGTGAGTGTGAGTGTGAGTGTGAGTGTGAGTGTGAGTGTGAGTGTGAGTGTGAGTGTGAGTGTGAGTGTGAGTGTGAGTGTGAGTGTGAGTGTGAGTGTGAGTGTGAGTGTGAGTGTGAGTGTGAGTGTGAGTGTGAGTGTGAGTGTGAGTGTGAGTGTGAGTGTGAGTGTGAGTGTGAGTGTGAGTGTGAGTGTGAGTGTGAGTGTGAGTGTGAGTGTGAGTGTGAGTGTGAGTGTGAGTGTGAGTGTGAGTGTGAGTGTGAGTGTGAGTGTGAGTGTGAGTGTGAGTGTGAGTGTGAGTGTGAGTGTGAGTGTGAGTGTGAGTGTGAGTGTGAGTGTGAGTGTGAGTGTGAGTGTGAGTGTGAGTGTGAGTGTGAGTGTGAGTGTGAGTGTGAGTGTGAGTGTGAGTGTGAGTGTGAGTGTGAGTGTGAGTGTGAGTGTGAGTGTGAGTGTGAGTGTGAGTGTGAGTGTGAGTGTGAGTGTGAGTGTGAGTGTGAGTGTGAGTGTGAGTGTGAGTGTGAGTGTGAGTGTGAGTGTGAGTGTGAGTGTGAGTGTGAGTGTGAGTGTGAGTGTGAGTGTGAGTGTGAGTGTGAGTGTGAGTGTGAGTGTGAGTGTGAGTGTGAGTGTGAGTGTGAGTGTGAGTGTGAGTGTGAGTGTGAGTGTGAGTGTGAGTGTGAGTGTGAGTGTGAGTGTGAGTGTGAGTGTGAGTGTGAGTGTGAGTGTGAGTGTGAGTGTGAGTGTGAGTGTGAGTGTGAGTGTGAGTGTGAGTGTGAGTGTGAGTGTGAGTGTGAGTGTGAGTGTGAGTGTGAGTGTGAGTGTGAGTGTGAGTGTGAGTGTGAGTGTGAGTGTGAGTGTGAGTGTGAGTGTGAGTGTGAGTGTGAGTGTGAGTGTGAGTGTGAGTGTGAGTGTGAGTGTGAGTGTGAGTGTGAGTGTGAGTGTGAGTGTGAGTGTGAGTGTGAGTGTGAGTGTGAGTGTGAGTGTGAGTGTGAGTGTGAGTGTGAGTGTGAGTGTGAGTGTGAGTGTGAGTGTGAGTGTGAGTGTGAGTGTGAGTGTGAGTGTGAGTGTGAGTGTGAGTGTGAGTGTGAGTGTGTGTGTGAGTGTGGTGTGTTTGTGTGTGTACGAGTGTGTGTGTGAGTGCGTGTGCGCGTGTACGAGTGTGTGAGTGAGTGTGTGTGAGTGCGTGTGCGTGTGTGTGTACGAGTGTGTGCGTGTATGAGTGTACGAGTGTGCGTGTGTGTGTACGAGTGTGCGTGTGTGTACGAGTGTGTGTGTGCGTGTGTGTGTGTCTGACCTGCCGCCAGTCTTGAATATGAGGTCCGCGTTCGGGGCTCCTTTAGGGTGCTGGTATCGCGGCCGGCGCTCTCTGTTGGTGTTTGCGGGAGCGGGTCTCTGAGCGAGTGACTGCATCATCTCTGAAAGCACAAACAAGCAGTGCATGGATGAATGGATCGACACCAGCAGCTGTGAAACACTGAGAAAGCAGCGTCTGCTCTGTGGCTCACCCTGATAGTCCTCCTGCTCCTGCCGCTCGTTGATGTCCAGCGTCAGCTTCTTCATGCGCATGCGCTCCTCCTGCTCCACCTGCTGCTGGTTGAAGTGATTCGCCGCCAGATGAGATGACAGCGGCACGTTCAGGATCTTAAACTACAGAGACAGACGGAGAGTTTTGTTTTCAGGCTTTATGCTCCTTAAAGATCACACGTGCCATTTCTGTGAGATATTATGAGAAAGTATTTTAACATCATGAAATGATAAATATCACCTTTAATTATGTTTAAATAATTAAATTATTTTTATTACTTTTGTGCTACTTTCTTTGTGAAAAAATAAAATAAAATGACATATAACTGAATTATATTTTATATTTATTTGCTATTTTGCTACTTTTTTTTGCAATAATATTTGAATAATTTTTTTTATTAATTTATTTAAGATCTTGCACATCATTTCGGTGGATGAACTGAGATATTAAGTTATGAGAAAATATGTGATACTTTAACAAAAAATACAAAAATCACAATTTAATTATTTTAAACAAATAATTGTTTAAATTAAATTTGAATTAAATTAAAATTAATTAAACTTATTTTACTTTGCTCTAAGAAAGTATCAGAAATTAACAAAAAATAATTACATTATCTATAGAAGGAATTAAATTTAATATTTGTCATTTTTGTTAAAATGTTGTTAAAATACTTATACATTATTCTTAAAGATCATGTGTGTCATTTCTGTGGATTAAATATTAAGCTATGACAAAATATATTAACAAAAAGTATTTTAACAAAACATTTTAACAAACGTAGAAAGTATTTTAACAAAAAAAAAATAAATAAAAAAAATAATTAAATTTATTTTAAATACTAAAAACTTGCACTATTGTTATTATATTTGTACCTTTTTAACATAATTTTAGCATAATAATCTCATTACACACACACACACACACACACACACACTCACGCACGCTGTACCTGCTGTTTGTTGCCCTTGCGTGTGAGCATGACAAACTGCATGGTGGCGCTGATGTCTGTGTCGCAGGAGGGGGCCGGGCTTTTCTTCAGCTGGCTCTTTAACTGCAGGGGAATGGCCACATCCAGCTGATGGACCTTCACTGCCTCTCCACTGCGCTGCTGCTCACACACACACACACACACACACACACACACACACAGTCAACAGAAACATTTATCCAGGTCATAAATAAAGATATTTGTGGATAAACTCAGATATGAAGCTGGAATATATAGTGCATATATTACATTTCTTGCTATTTTCTTTACATTTTAATAACATTTATTTTTCAATTTATTTAAAGTTGTATGTGCACTAATCTGTAATTTAATAAAATGTTTAATTACATTTATTTTATTCTTAAAGAACATGCATGTCATTTCTGTGGATAACCTGAGGTATTTAAGCTATAAGTATTTTTTTTGTTACTTTCTTTGCTATTTACTTATTTTTATATAAATTTACTTTGCACTAATTTATAATTAAATAAAATGTTCAATTACATTTATTTTATTTTGCACCAAGTAGCAAAAAAGTAAAAACAATAAAATTATTTAAACACGGAATTGAATGTGCTTTATAATTTTGTAATTTATTTAATATTTACATAAACTGAATTTTATTATAAAATAATTAAAAAAATATAATATATTTTTAAATCATTTAAATATATATATATTTTTTTTAATTATTAATGTAATTGTTAAGATTAATACAGATTAATTGTTAAAATATCTAGTACATTTCACAGATAATTACAAAGAACTGGCAAAAAATGTTAAAGTAGAAAGACTGAAATCGTATTTTCTTGTAAAACAATAAACTTTGTTTACTTTTGGAACTTCAAAAACAATTTTTTAAAATGTATTTTATTTGCACCATTGTCACTGAATTGTTATTGAACTGTTTGCATAATTTCTCACTGCACAGCTATATGCTAAAAATGTAGTTTTTATTCCTCCTCATGTTGTTTCAATCTTGAATGCTGTTATTTTTTTGTGGTTTACAGTAGAAAATCTTGAAGCAGCTGTTTTCCATATAAAGTGTTCAAAGTGACCACAGTTATTAAACCCTAAAACTGACAAAAATACACCATTAAAGTCACATAAAAATAGACCATATGTGAGCCTGGAGCACAAAACCAGTCGCTGGGGTATATTTGTAGCAATAACCAACAATACATTGTATGGGTCAAAATTATACATTTTTCTTTTATGCCAAAAATCATTAGGATATTAAGTAAAGATCATGTTCCATGAAGATATTTTGTAAATTTCCTACCGTAAATATATCAAAACTTAATTTTTGATTAGTAATATGCATTGCTAAGAACTTCATTTGAACAACTTTAAAGATGATTTTCTCAATATTTAGATTTTTTTGCACCCTCAGATTCCAGATTTTCAAATAGTTGTATCTCGGCCAAATATTGCCCTATCCTAACAAACCATACATCAATGTAAAGCTCATTTATTCAGCTTTCAGATGATGCATAAATCTCAATTTCCAAAAATTGACCCTTATGACTGGTTTTGTGCTCCAGGGTCACAAATGACTTGGAATAGAGCACTCAAGTGCTACTGACTACTTTCTTGGTGTAGTTTTATAAAAAAAAAAAAAGTAAAAAAGCATACTTCCAGCACTACACTAGCACATATGTGACTTTATAGTATCCATTCGTGGACTAAAAGCCACAAAACTACACATTTTAAGATTGAGAAAGTAAAGAGGGTAAGTCTTGGATGTACAGGAGCTAAAGCACAATGGTTTGGAGAGTGTTTGTGCACCTGCAGGTTTTCCAGCATCATTTTGTCCAGCGCCTGGATGAAGTCCTCGTCCTCGGCACACGCCACGTGTTTGAGTCCTCCGCTGCGGAGAGTGACCTCCTGACCGACACAAACATCAGCGTTAACTCAGAGCTCAGAGAAAGCGCCCAACACCCGCCTCAGCCCATCCTCACACTCACGTTATTCTCTTCATCCGTCTCGTTCTCTTTGTTGGAGTCGGTCAGATAGTCTGTGTTCTCCTCTTCCTCCTCACGCTCCTCTTCCTCATTGTCTGAGCCCTCCTGAACAGGTGTGCGACAAAACACATGGTTTATGCATAAATGTTAAATCCATCTGGTCTCTAAACACTCCATCAAGATGAAGTGAAATATCAATTTTTCCCAAGCGCATTTATCATAAGATAACAGATAAAAACCTGAATGGCTAAGTTCTATGTTTAAAATATGTGTATAAAATGTGTTTGTGTGCGATTTATTTATAAATGAACATAAGTGCTCTTATCAAAGTATTTTTACATTTAATTTAATATTAAATGTATTTAAAAGGTATAACATTGGAAGTTGAAAAAATTTATTAATATATATATACAAAATGAATATATATGGCTGAATAGCAATTTTTTATGTTTATATTTGTGTGTGTATTTTTATTTATAAATGAACAAAAGTGGTTTTATCAAAGTAAAGTAATTTGTACCTTTTGGCACTTGGTAAAAGTTTTTTTAATTTAAATTTATTATAAATAAATGTGTTTGTATTTTAAAGGAAAAACATTAATTGAATTAGTATATATAATTATATATAAAACTTTTATTATATATAAAATATATTTATATATAATTTTATGCATAGAATTTAATTTAAATGTATAATTTTATATATAAAATGTTTTATTTTTTATAACACACACACACACACATATATACAGGTATATATATATGTATATGCATAATGTGTGTCTATGTGTGTATGAATAAATAAATCAATAAAATTCAAGTGTTTTTTATTTTTTTATTTGCAAATGAATTTAATTTAGATTTTGTAGTGACTCATGCTGGTGTGTTTTTCTCCATCTCTGTGCATCATCATTAAACTATATGTAAGAGTAAACTATAATGCATGAGAGAGGAGGCGGAGTTTACAGCTGTCAATCACACGTCTGAGAACAGTCACCTCCTCCTCGGGTTCATTCATCTCGCTCTCGTTTCCAGACTGCTCCTCGGTCTCCGCACCTCTCTCGTCTTCGTCATCATCGTCCTCCTCATCCAGAGGCTCGTTCTCGCCCATGGCGCTGGAGGAGCGGCCGTCTTTCTCCAGGCCTGGACACACACACAGGAATGCTGCTACTGAGCAAACCAGACCACAAGGGATACAAATAAACTGGCACTACAGTATGACTGTGGTTTAAAACCAGCCGGGCGACAGACACACACGACAGCATTCCTGAAGAGCTATTCTGGATCTGAGCTGCTTTATCACTGATACTCTTACACTCGCCGCAGGAATGTGTGTCTTTCTCTCAGCACGCGTCAGGCATGAAGCCGTCAATGACTGAGCGCATTAAACAAACCTGTGTGTGAGTGTGAGGAATGCTGCTCGACGGGGAGAGCAGAAACATGAGCAGAACAACTAGAAGAATGGCTGCACACACACACACACACACACACACACACACACACACACATACTCGCACTCGCACTCACACACGCACTCACACTCGCACTCACACTCTCACTCACACTCTCACACTCACACTCGCACTCGCACTCACACACGCACTCACACTCGCACTCACACTCTCACTCACACTCTCACACTCACACTCGCACTCGCACTCACACACGCACTCACACTCGCACTCACACTCTCACTCACACTCTCACACTCACACTCGCACTCGCACTCACACACGCACTCACACTCGCACTCACACTCTCACTCACACTCTCACACTCACACTCGCACTCGCACTCACACACGCACTCACACTCGCACTCACACTCTCACTCACACTCGCACACACTCACTCGCACTCGCACTCACACACGCACTCACACTCGCACTCACACTCTCACTCACACTCTCACACTCACACTCGCACTCGCACTCACACACGCACGCACCACACACACACTCCCCCACTCACTCCCTCACTCACTCACTCACATACACGCACACGCACACTCTCACACACACACACACACTCGCACTCACACTCGCACACACTCACTCGCACTCACACTCACACACTCACACGCGCACACACACTCACACACACACGCACACACACACACTGTCACACACTCTCATCACACTCTCACACTCTCACACACTCACACTCACACTCGCACACAGAGTGTCAGACGAGTGTTTTACCCAGTTTGACGAGGAACTCTCTCTCCAGCTGTGTGACTTGAGCACAGGCCTCATCCAGAGACGAGCACATCTTCATTTTGGGCCGCAGCAGCTCCAGCGTGTCTGTGATCATGTACTCGATGTCGATGGGGAACGGCTGATCTTTAGTCCACACATCCAGACTCTTCTTCCACCAGACGTACCTCTAAAACACACAAATAAACTGCGCTGAACATCATATATATAGTATGGAATAAATAATTTTTTTTTATGTTTTTGAAAGAAGTCTCTTCTGCTCATCAAGGCTGCATTTATTTGATCAAAAATACAGAAAAAAACTGTAATATTGTGAAATATTATTACTATTTAAA